TGGGCCTCCACTTCGTTTCACCCGCTTACTTGCGGTTAGGTTCTTGTCAGAACTAAAGGCTTTGGCTGTGAACTCTAATCGTTCTCCTGCTTAGTGGCTGGGCACCCTAGCAGTACCCGTCCATCGAACCCCAATGCACATGCATTGCGAGTTTAGCAGCGATCAGTGAAGTTCACCTCAGTGTAATTCGCTGTACGATGATGATGATGACTTGAGCAAAATGAGAAAAAACCCTGAGTAGTTCATTACCGACCCCTGTTTTCTGTCTCATAGATGCCCGGGAAACAGTTACTCGCGTGTTTACGCAAATCCACCGATTCGGTGGTGTCAAACCGAGCCGAGGAGTCATTGTCCAATCCCGCTCTTGGACTGGTGTTTGATAATTCCCATCAGTCTCGATCAGTACGCAACGCGAAAAATGGGCACGTCAGTCGACGGACAAATAAACCGTACGTGAACGGGACTGTGATACCCGAGGAGATTGTAAGTAGTATGAAGAATCTCGCATGTAGCGCACAGACTAGCGAACAACGACAGGCCGCAGCGGGACTGGATGAATATGATATTTGTCAATCGGAAATGAAACATGTTCAAAACTGGATCCGATCGACGGCGTCGAGTCAACCGAGTGGATCAGTGAGACAACTTGATTGCCCGATAAAAAACATGGACAAGATTCGAGTAACGGACACGGACCGAACACAAACGATCCCAGATGAATCCGTATCGATTATCTACAATGATCAACTATACGGACAGTATCAGACCGTAAACAAAGAAAAAAAACAAATAAGCTGGACTTCGGATTATTCAAGTCGCCGTGGATCACAAACGGGTCGTACCGTGATCACACACACCACCACAGATCGACGTCGCACGTCAGACGACATGAGTTGCACTCACGGACAAGCGGAATCACATGTGTATTATCCGCGAAAGGGATCCTCGGCAAGTGTTTCTGCTGATAGATGCGAGCAAATGAGACCTAAGCATCAACCAGATCGTGTAGACGCATCTGTCCAGGTAGACATCACGGAATCCGTACGCAGTACAGAAAATAAAGAGAATATAACTCAGGACACATTCAAAAGTATGCTCACTATTTATATATCCGGAAGAAATAGGGTGAAATCGAACTCAAATAGTACAGAACAAACAACACAACGACGAATCGGAACCGGGGAGGGTTGTGTACAACTTGGCAGGTGTGTGAACGATCCGACACGAGAAGAAGCAAACATCAAGACCAATCTGTTTATGTCCAGTTCTGAGTCATACATCTCTCGGTATGGAAATCGAACCTCGTCGAACGGCGGTGACGTTCGAAAACCCCTGGAGACGACACGATGGGCTAGCGAGTCACAGAATTTGGGAACCACCGTATTGACGGAAGACTATGATGACGACCATTTCACCTCAGTGTCTGAGCTGAACACGATCAAACGATTGGGTTTAAATTTACAACTGTGCGGTTCCGATCCGGTCCGAGAAAAATCGGGTGTGCGATGGAATCCAACCCCGGCTCGAACTAGGAGTCATTCACCATCGAACCAATCCGCCAGTTGCACAGACAGTGAGGGCACCAAGTCGAATTTGAATCCCTATTTGCACATGTCTCCGCATGGGAATTTCCCGGCCCCGGTTACTCAAGGTCACAAAATCAGTCAAGATTCGATCAAAATAAGTCCACTTACCAGAACAAACTTGAAGTTGCATAACCGGAAATATGAGTGTGAATGAGAATAGGAGAACGGGACGCGGGGGAGTGAGAGACGCAAAACAAAGAAACGGATAATCCTCTGCATCGATGCAGGAGTTTGTACATTTTTTTAATGACTTACCGGCAAAATAAATTTTGAATATTTCTCTAACAGGGTTTCTCGTTTCTGTCTATCCGTGGCGTAGAAATCATCACTGACCAGTCGGAGAAGCATATCCCGTTTCAGATGCATAGCCAAGCGACTGTGTAGTTCAGCCTCGGAAGACTTTCGCGAGGACAATGGGAGAAGATAGCAAAGAACAGAAGTGAAGACCGGTCAACGATGACAGGGTTTTTTTATTCGAAGTGTACATGTCATGTGGTAAAGAAGAAATACTCCAACTTTGTGATATATATATATATATTACACATATCGCACAAGTGAGTGGGAAGTGGTACGATATCATCAGGGCTGTCAATTTTAACTAATCAGCTGTCAGACACGCGCTTCATACACATTTTTTCTTGTTGCCCACACCTTAGTATGTAATGAACAGTAGACGGCGGGGAGGGATTGGACCCCATAGTCACGAAGATTTGATTACTGCTCAGTGATAGAAACCGGTAACCTAAGCGCAGTGGAACTTGGAGTGGCGAATCACATTAGGTCCCCCTAGGTCAGGCATGGGGTATTGAACCGGACGACAGCAAGGCTGCCTGCAGCACCAAAGTTCGGCGGTGATAGCGTGGCTCGAACCACCGGGTCCGAAGCACACCGGTTACGACTAAACCACTGCACCACCATCACCATCACCGAAATATTCAATAATCAGTTCATCTAAGAAATCAAACACTCATAACCATTTTATTTCTTTTTAATGAATACATAGTTTCAGTAATCCGGGATGAGCCGCAACCAATAAGGCGCTACCGGAAAACAAACACACAGAGGAGGGGAAGGTGTGCGACGATGGTGATGCTAGTTGGATTCGAACACATGTACGCTGAGGGAATAAATTAGTACTCTTAACCACTTGATCAACGGTCCGGTCCGGTCACAACGCAAACTGACAACTTTTGACATATAAGGCACGTGCGTTATCACGTGCCTCGGCAAACATCGCTCGCCCTGGTAACTTATTTGGTGACATGCGTAACATAATACTCGACCAGCGTTATCCATGGAGGTCCATAATTTGCTCCAGCGGACGACCTCGATCACCTAAGACTCGACGCCTAGCCTCAGCATTGCTCGTCGGGTTACTTTACCAGACTCGTGCAATGCGACGTAGACAGCGGTATTTGAACACAGTAATAGCCAAATCTCTGCACCGTAAAACAGCATTGGCCGAACTGCTGCAACATATAATCGAAACTGTGCAGATAACCGAATGTCGCGACGGCGCCACTAATATCTTAAGTTGGCAAATGCCAACCGAGCCTTTGGTATGCGCACTAACCTTAACAAAAGGCTAAACATAGTGAAACCACAGGACTGCCAAAAATTTGTTTGCCGGATAAATCCAAAAAGGACGGATAAAACTGAGAAGAATACAATAATAAGTAGTATATGAATAACTGGACAAAATTTCCCTGAAAGTTCACGATCGGTTTCGCGGTTCTCGTCGCCCGTCAGGCATGTGTATCCAGTAATCTTTTGTCACTTCATTTATATTGTATTTGTATAACTTTTGCAAGTTTACTATGCTTACATTTCAGTTTAAAAAATTGTGCACCGGTCGTCACCGAAGAAAATATAGAAATGTAGACAAATCCAATATGTAAAAAAATGCCGACAAAGTTTGATTCAGTCAAGTAAAAATTTACGTAATTCATTTATTACTCGTTCCTCTTCGGACAAGATTCGAGCCAGACATGTTACAGGAGAGTTTTTATAAATATTTATTCGGGAAGGTAGGTACCGATAAGAGGAGCGAGTGATCGAGTGGATGCGACAAGATGTCAAAATGCAAAAGATGAGTGGGATCGTTTAGAATCTTATTGACAAGGGTTACACAATACTTCAAATGACCATGAATAAGTTCTGTGATTAATGACTCAGCAGAAATTAAAGATGCACGGTTTATTATCATCAATCCACGACGGATAGTTTTAAAGTCTTGTTTCCATAGACCGCGAAACATTACAGGGGAGCAGCAAAGTAAAATAGGCAGCAGGCATTGATTACTAAAGGAGAATAAAACTTTTTAGGGCACTGCGAAGTTGTCCTAGCTTTCGAAGCTGAAGGGAAAGGCAACGAGGTTATCCCATACACTAAATATGTGAGGATAAACGACGATTGTTATGCGATAGTAACACCCAGATGTTTGGTTGAGGTTACCCTAGACAAAAGGTTACAATGAAGGGTTACAGAGTCTGATAGGGATTGTAGAGCCGAAAGAACTAAGAATCCACTTCAAGCACTTGTATGTGTTAAGATTAAGGCCAGAATGGTTTGAAAACTGTCAGTCGATTCGGGACCGATTTTCATATGATCGGACCCAGAAAATGTAATTTCGTCACAATAACCGCAATTGCAACACCGAGTAAGTTTGTTTGGACAGTTCTTTCAGAGCTATTCGCCGAAGAATTAATACTACGATCCGATGTTTTGTGTGTGGGTTAGGTGCTATGGATCG